TCACTCTTGTTTCTAGAGTCTGTTTAGTGGAGGCTTTAATTTGTGTGCTGTCTGCTGTTGGCACTATATGGTGCTGTCGATATTCAAAATGTGGTGGTGAGGGGATTTGGAGGCTACTGAGCAACTGTGTCTTCTGTTATTTGTGGAAAAAGAGAAGAAGAACAGGCTGTAAGATCTGCTTTCTTATTTTGAGTAGCACATTTGTTCACAGTTGCTCCTTCACACCCACACATTGCTTTGTTCCTATGATACAATTATATTTTACAGAGCATCTTTTTAGTTGCTAACCAGAGATTTGTCCGGAGTTCACACCTTTTCCATAATATCTTCCTCCGTGTGTTTAGCAGCTTTTTGTTTCTACGGCACATGTTCTGTCGCAAAGCCTGCAAATGAACTGAGAGGGTTTTGTTTGTTTCTCATATTGCTAGTACCAGACTATGGGAGATTTGGTTCATTCTTGACTTCTGGTAGACTAATCTGGTCTTTCTCCTGACACACACCTGTTGTGTATTAAATTCACATGCCTGTAAGTATTGTAAAAATATAATATCACAGTTTCATGAGCTCTTCTTGTGTTTGGGTCCATTGTTTCACTGTTAGGTGCCAAAATAATAAACTTGTATCTGTTTTCTTTATTTGTGCTTCCCAGCTTGCTTAATAATTGATTATTTTTACATGACTCATCCTTCGTCTTTACTTTTCATACTTCTCTTATCTCGGTGTCCTGATGAGTAACTGAGATTACATGTGAACTGTTAAATATTATATTTAATTTTAGCTGTTACAAAGTACCTAATTTATTCAGTCTTGTTTCAACTTTTGAGATTTAAAGAGCAAGTATTTCTGCTTTAAGGTTTTTGGTTGTCACAAGAAGCCACTCATCAGGACATCATGCCTCCACTGCAGTTAATGGGATTCGGATTAAAGTCTCTCTAAAAATTCCTAAAATGTCACTTCCTACATCAAGGAGAATGACGGCAGAGACGTTGTCATCAAAGGTGTCTTCAGTCATGAAAGGTGCTTTCAATAATGAAGAAGCAATTGGTCCATTGGCAGTTGCTAAGCAACTGCCTCGGTATTACTCTTGTAAGTCAAGGAGCGCCTGTAGGGAGATCCAAAGGGAGAGACATGCAGGGACATTATTGCATGTGGGAGAAATGTGGGATTTACTAATGTATGGAGTAAAATACACCAGCAGTTTAACTTTGCTGCTTGGAAAGTAGAAAAGTTGTTTTGTTTTTTTCAGGGGGGGTGTAGTAATCTAATTGTGTATTTCCCTAGAAAATATAATTAAGCCTGAGGCAAATGTCTCACTGCAATTATTCTGAGTGGGCACCAGTTCCTTTAAGCATAAAAAGCAAATGTGTGAAAGCACTAATGGATTTTTGCATCAGACTTTACAACTGGCAAAAAGGAAAGATGTTACTGAGGAAAAAATATTCCTCTGTTCTTGTGAAGCGTTGTGATTATCGGTGTGTGGAACGGCTGGAATTAAAGCCTGCTGCATACTTCTTTTGCTTCAAGTTCCAGCCATTGTATACAGGGTTTGGGGAGGCCCTTTTATCAGAAAGATTACCCCTCTCCATTGTGAAAATAGATTTACCTACACTGATTACTTTCCATTCCCCATTCTTTCTTTCCTGCGCCGCCTCCTGTTGATTGTTACAGAAAAAGGGGAAAGTCTTGTACTTCGCTCACTGTGTGGGGGACAAAATGGACAACAGAAGCCTGTAAACATGCTGTGTAACCTTTACTGACCTTTGCAATCCTATTCTGTGTGTGCATACCAATACAAGGGATTGCTGCCATGCCCTACTACACATATCCGACACAGGAATGCACTTAGACCAACACCTTAGCATATAACTGTTCTGGGTATGCCACACAAAACTAAACAATATCAGAATTATATGTATTGACAAAATACAAAGGAATACGAATGGCATGTAATGAATCAAGACAAGTTAAAGTGATTACATGTGTGATTTGCCGTGTTGCTTTTTTTTTTTCATTTTTGAGATGATGGAAAGGAAAGGAAAGCTGAATAAAAAGTAGTATTTTTAAGATGACAATTTGGGAAGCGGAACAAAACTTTCTCATGGTAGAAATGTGGAAAAACTGATTCTTTAGTCACACACTGCAGCTACTGGTAAATTAAAGTTTTCTCCTTTGCCCAAAATATATATTAGATACATTTGTTTCTATTATGTGTCTGTCTAAGAGATGTGCTTCTATGAGGATGGTGCCATTTTCAGGGAAGGCTTTGCTTCCTTTTTTTTATTAAGACAGCTGCAGACCACTTTCTACACATAATGCAAAATGATGGCTCTGTAGTTCTGGTATAAATTTGGACTGTGTGCATTCTATACTTGTTTAATGATGCCCCAAGTGTTTTCAGTAGGTGACAAGAAATATGACTTACGTACGTGCTGTACGTAACTTCATTCATGTCAAACAAGGGGAGGGGGGAGTTCAGATCTGCATAACCATGGTAACTACACACAAAGCTGAAACATGCAAATGCTAAGAAGATATAAAAAGTAAAAATGCAATAATTGGAGTGGAGGAATGGTGTGGAGGAAAAAGAATTATTACTTTTCATTTGAGAAAAAGCTGAAAATTACTAAAATGTGTAGCTACTTTTGTCAGCAGTAGTATTAAGTATTCAGAGATCTATGTCTCTCACCTGATAGCATAAAATCAGAAAATAATCAGATGAGAAAATTTACACAAGATTATTGACTACACTGATTTATATGTGGGAGAGTTGTGATTAACCTGTTCAACAAGTTGTTTACAAAACTACAAAGCTTCATAAATTAAAAGGTTGGTATGCTTCCTGATTTGTGTCATACAGTTGTTCCATATTTTATTGCTGAGGTGTGTTGAAGTGCTTTGGCATGTGTGAGTGTTAACAATGTGTTTGTGCGTTGTAAGTGGTTCTGTGCAGCTTAGCTTGCCAGTGTGACCTTGAAAAAACCAACTGTAGTAGTTTTATAACTCAGATTTGACCTTGTCAGCTTAACTGTGATGATATACTTCCCAGTGGATGGAAAGCTGAATACTTTGAGCTGTCTCCTGTTGGTACAAATTGTTTTCCTTTCCTGTGGACAAGGCTGTCTGTTAAAGATTCTGTCTTTGTAGTTGCTCTCGTCGGACTTCTCCAGAGAGCTGCCCTGTAGAGAAGCCATCAATTTTCGGACGGGCCGTTCCATCGTGTGCATGTTTGTGCATATCTCTTTGCTTCCAGTTTAATCACTGTGGAGGTTATGTTATTGAGTCCGTGATGATGACTTTTGATTTGCCTACTGGTTGCCCATCGAGTCTGCAGCCACTTCTCAGTAATGCTGATCAATAGGACTGCTGCAGTGTAACCTCCTGTCACAGTCCATAGCCAGCAAGGGCAAGAAATGAATTACACGTTTGTTTGTTTTTTGCCACTGGCATTTACATCCACTCTTGTGGACAGTAAGTGACGTCTGCAAGATAATTAACACATGTATGTGTGCAGGGGCGTCGTGGGGGAAGTGGTGACTTTAACTACCAAGGGTTAATTTCAGCTGAAGTGGAACTTGCAATGAAGAGTTTGATTGTGTTTGATTTTTTGTTTTTGTTTTTGTTATTTCTACACAATTAGCAATAACTAAACTGCCTGAATAAATTGAGACCAAAAAAAAGCTTTCATTCCACTTTCACCTGTTACAAATTACAGATTGACCCCCACTTGACTCTCCTTTACATCATAGTTAATTTATTCCATCTAGGTGACTGCTAATGCACACCGTGTCCAAAAAGAAACTAAAGAGAGGAGACATTTTTTTTGTTTTTTTTTTAAAAAGCACGTGTTAAACATTGCGCCTCTGCCAGATGTAACAATATAGCTCTCAAAATGGACCAGCACAACTTAATACCATAATTTTATGTAATACTTAATCATCTAGTATCTGCAAGAATATCAGACGACATATATGACATCTTTTGTGTTTTATGAGCTCAAAGGAACACTAACAAGAAATCTCCATTTTATGTCCTATTTATAAAACTAATTGAATCCAGTGCTTTTTAAAATACTGTTATTCTGCCAGCTCCCACCAAGAGCTGTAATTTTACTGTTATAGCTTCATAAACATAAATGTTTGGAGATTTAATTGAACTTTCACATTTATTAATTATAGGTCGATTGCCTTGACCTGTGGCCTGTGACATGCTTTAGTGCCAAAAACATTGAAAACGGTATTGGGCTATAAAGCAGGTTAATATATTAACCTGTATCAATCCTGTATGTGTCACTCCGTGATGAAGCATACATGCAGTGACGATGTGATAAAGACTACAGTATATCCAGATATTAAGGTTGAATTCTAAGGACGCATCATAGGTTTTTATTAAATGGGGTATATGAACAGTTCATTGGAGCCTACCCTAATGACCACTACAGATTACTGCATACAGTAGTTGGCTTAATTAATTAAAATATAAAAAGGGGGTTCACATAGACTGCTTATGTGCAGGGCCCAGAGTTCTGTGCTACGCCCCTGTGTGCGCGTGTGTGAGTCTATATGTGTGTCACTATTAGATGCTGTGATTCTCTAAGCAGCCACCTGCGTCTATTGGGCTCTCAGCAGATACAGGGGACAGCTGGCTCCTGCTTCCAGTCTGACTTAAGAGGAAGGTTTTATGGCTTGCCTGTATTTGTTACACCCGGATTACGTAATTGTGTTGCATAAGTCACATCCTCAAGGGAATTATTTGTAGATTGGTTGATACCTATTCCTGCCCCATGTGATAGCAATGTCGTCTTCAGACAGAGGCGTAAAATGATGATGGGAGAACTCCACTGATGTTTATTATATAAATGGTCTAGGGAAAAACAAAATTAAATCCATCCTCCTGCATTCCTCTTTCAGTCCTACTTATTAAGTAATAATTCATATTATTTTATCTCCTCTAACAACACCCTCCATGTGTCTCCTTTTTTATTTTCGTGTCAGGTGTGCACCATGGCATCTAAACCTCCTGCTCCTCTAATGAAGAAGCACAGTCAGACGGACTTGATAAGCCGTCTGAAGAGCCGGAAGATCCTTGGAGTCGGTGGCGAGGACGACGATGGCGAAGTGCACCGCTCAAAGGTCAGATTACATCATATAAACATATTCCAGCGAGTTTGACTCAATCTAAGCGCTAATGTACAGTCAAATGGCTTGTACATTAGTGCAACAAGCAGCTTGGTTAGAAATGAGTGCATTTGTTAACTATCACCAGTTAAACTACTGGAAAAGCAAAATGACTTTCCACCACAAATGTGTTTACTAGCCCTGAGAAGAGCTATGGATTCTTTTTAAAAGCCACAGTGGGCTGCTAATTGGCTCATCACTCTCTTCATGTCCCATTGTCTGCATTTGCTCTTTATGGATCAGTAAATCTAGATCACGTAATCCAACAAGCTCTGGCAGCTCCACTGAGATGTGGCTTGGTCCCTTGAGAGACTTCCTGCCTCTTGCATCTCATATGTATTCTCTTTCTGCCTCCCATGCATTAGCACATCAGTATGGATGGTGCATACCAAAACACAACAGCACACATGCAGGTATATGTTAGGAGACAGAGTATCATATTTTAATATCAAGTTCCACAGTTGCACACTGACAGTAATTTATTCCATTTCACTGAGCTCAGATTTCAAGATTTCAGATTATTATTATACATTTTTTTTGTCATTATCAGACTGCATTACAGTGAGCATAGGCATAGCAGATTGTTCCTCACTGAAATATTCATTAACATGCAAGTGTGAAAAAGGGACAGAACAGAATGGAGCAGGCATACGGTGGTGGCTGATAGTTCGTGATGTGATGTCAGCCCCCTTTTTCTCAGCTCTCCTGAGTGTTTGTTTTCTCTCTCAATGTTTTAGCACGGAGCCTAACCCTACATCTGCCACTCAGAAACCTTTCCAGGACGGTATGATAAAGACAGAAACGAATGTGGCAGTTGCTCCTCTCTCTTGAGTCTTGTGGTTGCATATTCACTGTAATGGCTGATCCAACAACAGGGTATACAAACCACAGTAAAACAACAGTTTGGTTAATGGGCTCTACTGTACGTGCTGTTTTGAAAAAATGTGTTTCCCTGTTTAACTTCGACATTGAACTAAATTAGAATTTAACTGTTACTGTGACAGTATAATTGTTCACTTATTCTACTCCATTGTGCTTACTCTTGTTGTTCCATTTATCCTTGCCATACATAGTTTTTTGTTTTTTGTTTGTTTTTTTTTGTTATAGAGGAAACAGTTGACTCCATCCCGGTGGTTTCAGTAAACAATGGAAGGAAGTGCTCCTGCACTCTGTTCACTGTGCCTTCCTGCTTCTTCTACTACTTAGAGATAGGAATACTCTTCCTCTTTAAGGGACAGAAAGACAGTAGTGCATTACTGCAATGCTTTATCTAGGTGCTACTGTGCAAAAAGATAATGCCTCACCTGGCTGCACCATTGCTGACAGCTTGTTTAATTCAGCGATCCTGTATTTAAGTGGTAATGGGATGTTGCAACTGACAGATACTGATATTCCAGAGTACTGCTACTCTAGTTGGTATTAGCTGAATATTTTTCATCCTCTATGGCTGAAAAGCTGCTCATTGTTTACTAAATAGCTGAAGGAGTGATTGATGACAACTCAAGGCCACAACAGCTGCGCTATAGCTTCTCTCTGCACAAACAACATTGTGTATTTCTTTTCCTGTTTCTCCCTCTTTCCACTCAACCGCCTTCTGCAGTATTCTGCCCTAAGCCACCATGGTACCATCAATTGATGCTCAGTTTTCAGAGTATGAACATTTCTCATGCCAGTCATGAATATTTATGTGTTCTTGTCAAAAACGGCCCCTAAAACCAAAGGCACAGGAAGGGTGATTCACCTGGTTATGTGACCACAGCTGGCACAGATGGATTCATGTACAGGTGCTTCAGTTGCACTGCAATGAGGGATGTACATGTCTACCCCTAAATTAAAGACTGCAGCAGACATTGTGAATTTAACAATCTTAAAAAGAAAAATCCCCTTCCCCCATCTTACTTCAAGCACATGAAGTCTTTGTTTTCCTTTCTGCTGCTTTTGAACACGGGTTCTCTAAAGCTACTTAACAAGTTCAAGGCCATCAGTCCTTCTGTTTGTGTATACATCAAAGATTGATGCAAATGCACACACATGAATCACTACCCTTATATATTTTGTTTAAACATGGTGTGTTTTTTATCTGCATCTAAAGTTATTGCCATGATGAGGTCATTTTTATATGCCAAATTACTGTGCATTACAAATAAATGTCTGGTTGCAAATTACATATTTAACTTAGGAAACTCTTCAAACAAACACAACAGATGTAGTTTTTTGACAGAAGTGCTCAAAATTGTGACATTTGAAATTCACGTCATGATGTGAATTTCACAGAAAGTCAACAGACACGAGTATAGTTGCATCTCGGCCCCGAGGGCAAAAAGGAAAAGTCATGTTTAATGATATCCTGGAAAAAGCTCTCTCCAGCTGCAGTGAAATTAGGTCTTGCTGATATTGTTATATTACATAATAAGTATGATGTAATGCATCAACTCTTTGAAATACACTTTCTTTTGAAAATGGTCCAGATATTGCACTTATTACTATGCACCTTGTGGGAGATGGCAGAAGGTAAAAGCCAGTGAAAACCCATGTTTTGATGTGACATCGATCATTGTTTCATTCACATTAAGTTTTCACAGGCTTATCAAATAAAAAACTATTCCGTGTTCCCTGTAAACACTCGTAGCCAGAAAATGATTAATCTCCTCTTCTTTAGAGCTCTTTTGCTTCTGTGTATTTTTAGTTCTGTGTGATGCTACGTCTGGCTCCAGCACCGGAACCCTTTTGAGGGAAGAGAATGTTTTATGATGAAGGGAAATCATTCATGTTAAGGATATGATGGAACCTGAAGGGTTTTAGATGAAGGAATTCAACTTCACAGCCAGCCAACACTTGTAATTTCTCTGTGGGTTCCTGTCTGTTCAGGCAGAAAACTTTATTTATTTATTTATTTTCACTCTCTGTGGTTATTTGGGACAGTTTGTTTTCCTTACTGCTCATGAGCCTGACCCTGAATCTGTTAACAACATTTCTGGGCTTGTTTCTCCTGTTTATTCTTACAGGAAAAAAATTACTACGAATCCACATTCTGTAAACACATAACACTAATGTAGTGCATTGAAAAGCAATTACCTTGTGTTGTAAAAGCACAAATTATTTGTTTCAATCTAACCAACAGTCTGAACAATGCAGTATAGAATTACAATGAATCCTGAAAGAAATACATGTTTTCACTTTTTCTTTGATTAAATTTGAACTATTAGCTTCCTTTCATATTTTTTCATATAGTTACTGTTCCAAAGGTGTATGCTAATATTAAATGTGGTCAGGCCTTCAGATAATAAGGTCAGCATATGTGCGAGTAATCCCTCTGAGCCATGAGATGAGGCTTCAGCCTGCTGTAAATGCTTTCAGATGTTTTTTATGCTCTAAGATTTTTGTGATCTCTTTATGATAAAAATGATCTTGTGAGGCACATACAACACCCCATCAGAAGAAGAAGGGGTGGGTGAACTGAGATGTTGCAGTATAGATGAATAGGCCCTCTTAAAACAGCATTACAGCAATTTAAAATAAATAAATGAAGACATGAGCATAATGGGTCCCTTTTAAGTGATTAATTGATTGTCAGATGTGTGTAGCATGCTAATGAATTAGTTTTAAATTCCAATAACTCTTGGGTTCTTTGAGTTTGAAAATATAGTTGCTGCTTATTAGGATTCCAGGGTCTACTCTCATCTGTAATAAGAGATGCTTATCCTATCAGATATTGTATATCTTCTGAATATTGCTGTGTGATAAGATCAGCTTGCATGGCATTTCATGAAATATTTACTGCTATCTGTCCTTGTAGTCAGCTTGAATGAACACTTGGTCATTAAGAAATGGCACGTCACACTTAGTTTTCAGTTTGTCAGACATTTTTCCCACTAACGATTTCAGGCTTCCAGGATTATAAATTGATTATTATGTGCTGCTACTGTTGCCAGCGGTCATTTGTTGCAGATGATGCATTTCTTGTGGCATTGACATGGTAGTCAGTTATTCGTCTAGAATTCACTAAAAGATATTATGACATACAGTGAGTCTTAAGGAGGCAATTAAAAAGGCGAGAACATTTACAGTTTCTAATTAACATTAAGAGATGTTTCTCTGACACTCAGCCGCTCTGTTCCTTTCTCTTGAACACTCTGTTTTGTGTGCTTCTCTCCATTAACTACTTTAAATACACCTCCAGAGTACTCTTTCTTCCTGGTTATGTGGTGTTTTGCTGAAGGTTATCATAACATGTATTTGTTATGAAGACATGATTGTGATTGCATTTACCTTCTCATAACTCATTTCCTGTTTCTTTTGTCTTGCCTCGTTTGCTGATAGATCAGTCAGATGCTCGGAAATGAGATGAAGTTTGCAGTGCGAGAGCCTTTCGGGCTGAGGTGAGATTTCAGCTGCTCAGTTACTCAACATCACAACAGTCACAGTTAACACAGCAGATTGTGTAAGGTCATCCGTGCATCATTGCCAGTCTTGCAAAGTCTACAATCTGTAATTTTCACAGGATGGGTGTAGCATTTCATATTTCTCTCTTTTCAGGGTGTGGATACTCATCTCTGCAGTGGGTTTCACAGCTATGGCTCTGATGGTAAGATGTTTTGCACTGATAAATTTCAAAGTCTTTTCATTTTCAAATGTAAGGCAGAAAGAAATGTATCTTTTTAGAAGTGTGAAAACCACGTTATGCAAACGCAGCGCTGAGTTACTGTAGGTTCTGTTCCAAGATATCAGTGAGGGACATCTGGGGAAACAGCTCCGCCTTTGTTAACCTCACCATCTACATTCACATTATCCTCCAGGGCATTCACTGTGATACTAGCTCAAAAATAGGGAGACTTTGGGAAGCACACAGTGCTGTTTTGCTGATATGACAAAGCTATGTTGTGCTTTTTCCTTTTTTTTTACCCTACACAGGCTCTGGTGTTTCCCAACCAACTATATGAGGTCGTTTTTGAGGAGGAGCTCTCCACTACTAACATCTCTGTTCGCCTTTACGGAGGAGCATTGCTCAGTAAGTCCAAAGTTTTATGAAAGATCTGCAGCTAATTCATTCATAAAGGTATTTATGCTACTGAGTGTGAATATACTTGCATGAACAAGTGCATTCACCGTGCAGCACCGATGCAGACACGATGCTTTAATATTTATTTATTTACATGCTAAAAATATACACTGCCTCACTGCACTGCACTGCCTCTTGTGTTTACAGCTTCTAATGTATTCATTTTGAGTCAAACACTTCAAGCACTCATTCAGATACTGTAGAAAGAGCTCTCTTCTTGCATTCAGATACTGTATAAAGGGATCTCTTCTTCCTCCAAAATCCTTCCTTCAGGCTGCAAATGGTGGCTCTATAATTCAAGTTCTGTTTCTCTATGAGGTAAAAGACTAGTTCTCCAGAACGGCCACAGTCACTTCCTTTTTGCAGCTGTATATATATAAGATTTGGATCTAGTTGGTACATGGTGGCAGAACAGTACGTTTGTGTGTGCGAATGAGGTGCCCTGGAACTAAAAGAGGAGGCAGTGTAATACTCTACATTCATATTTTGCAGTTTTCTCTTTTGCAGTGGCATAAAAATGTTTGTTTTTGAATGTCACTTTAACAACGAGACAAAGTGCCATTTTTGCTCAGCTCCCACCTCACGCATAGCATACAACGTGTCTGAGATGCGAGCAATTATTTTAATGGGTTTTGACTTGAAACAGAGCTGTCAGTCAGGTGATCGCAGGGTTTGTAATGGGAGAATATGCAAAGGAGAGACAGAGCGAGTGAGAAGGCTTAATGTTTAAGTACAATTTGTGAGGTTGTCATTTTAATTTAGTTTACTAAATCAGTCAAAATGCTAGCACCTAAACTTCATATAGGCATTCAATAACATGAATACTAAGGGAAAGACATAATACTATGTTTTATGCATATAAAATGTAAAATCTGAACAAATCCAAGCTAAACCACTACAAGAACACATGAATGAACCAGCTTGACCTTGAAAAAACTGGCTTCTTCATTATAAATGTCATTCACACTGTGGGGATTAGCAAAAGAAGGTGATGGCCTATCAGACTAGGTGCAGTAAGGGGGCGGATGATGGGGTCTCATCTGCTGCACAGATGGAACCAGGCAGGGAGAGGATGCAGTCCATCAGCCCTCCCACCTTTCAGCCACCCCTTCTTGTTTCCATAGCCTCACTGTTCTCTGCAGGTGGGAGTGAAATTCAGGAAAATGAACAGGAAGAAGAGCAGGCACTGAAATGATTGCACGCAAGCCCGTCATCACAGACAGAGAGTCAGAGCTGAATCAACAGGCCCTGTTAGCAACATGTGCACATGGTGTCAAGATTCTTGTAGTTTTGTTAGTGGAAATTCTCTCGGACATGTAGGAGTCTTCCTTCCCGAGCTTGCTCTTATTTTCTGTTTTCATTCCCATGCCCCTGAACCTATAAATTTCCTATTTTTGCATTCTTTTCCAGGCCTGTCCCTCATCATGTGGAACGGACTCTACACAGCAGAAAAGGTCATCATCCAGTGGACTCTACTCAGTGAGGCTTGCTACTTTGCTGTACAGTTTTTAGGTGAGTTTTCCAACACAGATTACAAGTTATCTTCATCTTGTTTTGTTTCATCCTTTTCTGCCTCATGCAGAAAAAGGATGACTACTTTTGTTCATGTGGGAGCGTTTGCAGAAAGAAAAATGTGCAGGTAGTGCCCTCTTGTGTTCAGTGTGAGGTGTCACATCCTTCTATTTCAGATTTAGACACATTTTTATTTAAATCTTAAAACGGTACTTTTAAGCTCTTATGTACAATGAAGCATTGTGTGTATGGGTATAAATGGTGCTGTTTTTGTGTGTGTGTTTTTTCATAGTTGGCATAAGTGTCAATTTTCATGTTGCTCTCTTTCCATAGCTGCTCAAGTAATTAATACTTTATGAAAAACAAGCAGGGAGTTTGCATATATGCACTGTCTTTATCAAAAATATACTGATAATTGTGCTGATTCATGCTTTTTTTCAGAGACTGTTGTTGTTTATTATCATTTAATATCTAATTTAAGTAAATTTCTATTTGTGGTTTCAGTGACGTCCATCACTTTAGTGGAGATCGGCATCCTTCCCAACGCCGCCATGCTGCTTCTCCTCAGTCGAGTACTCTTCTTGCTGGTCACCATGGCTTACTACTACCACCTGGGCCGTAAGCCAAAGAAGATCTGAGCTGACTGTGTGATAACTTCCAGGGTGGGGACAGTTAAGCACAGATCACAAATGCGGGGCCAGAAGGTTTGGATTATGATTTGATTGGGGCTCGGAGCATTACTTTGCCAGTCAATGCCCCCTGCCCCCTTCTACAGGACCTAGCCTAATGTAACCCTGAATATTTAAAAGATGGGCACAGTCTCATATTCCAGACTCTGCAACAAGAACAAGAAACCTCATAGTGAAAGTGAACTACTTTCACTGGGGCTGTGAGGTCCAACCCTGTATTCCTCCTATGTGCAGTTATTATTAATACTGAGTTATTTGATTTGATTTGTAATATTAATTAAAATTACAGAGTAGTTTTAAACACCTGAATCTATTGTTCATGTACAGCTCATGATTTCCCGACTCAGTATTTTGTGTCTGATAAGAAGTTGCATCGACGCCGTTTCTGAGTCACACTCGAGGACCAAAAGTTTGTGCTGTCATTTGTTTGTTGTTTTGATGCTGTTGACGTTAAATCACACGATGTACTCTAATAACTGAGCTTGTGCATGCTTTCTGACGGCTTTCCAGTGAACACTCAAAATACACAATCCAAGGTTTAAGATTCGGAAAAAGCCAAATGAGTGACGATGAAAACTGTTCTAAACTGATAGCTTTCACACTGAAAAAAACTGTTAAAGTTCAGTGTTTACTCTGTCATGGCCATTAATAATATTCAGATCTAAATACTTTTCAGGGACTTATTATTATTCCTTGAGTGGACTATTTTGGACTATATTTTCACTACTGACATTAATACATGCAATGTTGATGAACACGTGAAGTTACTCATACAAGAGGAGCAGAGTAGTTCTCTCTTTGCTGTGTGTGCACTACAACTCTTTATCCCAAGTAACATTCAGACTACCTTAAAGCTAGTGTTACAAGACAACCACGTCAGTGTGCAGGTAAACAAATCTGAGCTGGCTGTACTTTGGTGATGTAGCACAGTTTTGTTTTTTTTATATACACCATATCGTTAGTCTTGCCTTAAAACTACTAAAAGAACAGTCATCTACACTGCATCCTGCTTCCTGTACATTGTAAATAAAATTATTTACTATTCTGTGCTGTTCTTGTGAACCAAACAGGGAACTTTTTTCAGTATTGGGTAAAATGATTTTGAATTCTAATCCTATCCTAATTATCGCGTCTTATTTTGTACCTATTTAAGTGACATTTGTGTTTCGACATCATGCATGCGATGTAATCCACTGAAAGATCTGTAATCCATAAAACTTTGTAGCAAGTTGCCACAAACAGAAGACAGCAAAGCAGTAAATGGCTGAATGAACCAAAATGGCAAAAAAAAAAAACCTAAACATGAAAAGCTGATTGATAAGACAGTTATACTGTATGTGCTTTAAAACAAATATATCATATATATTTGACAGTTTTCACCCATTGCTGAGTACATTTCTACCTCCAAATCCTCAGCATGCCCTCAGGTACATCATAACTCAGCTTGGTTTTCGAGCAGTGCCAGCAATCCAGTTTGTTGACTCAGCAGCACCTAAAACCTGATAGAGAGAGACACTCCCAAACACAGGCGACTCATTTGTAAGTTCGAATTTAAAAAAAAAAAAGAAAAGGGAACATACTGTAGGTCTTCAAAGGTGGTCCGTATTGTTACAAAAGACCACACTGAGTCCTGCCCTAGAAGGGAGTGACCAGTGATTGTGGGTTTGCAGTCCGGTGCTGAAGGCAGATGTGCTCGTTACTTGGGGCGAACTTTCAGTTCAGATAGGGAACGCGAAACATGGGTGAGGTCTCCTGTACCCCTGAAAAGTAGTAATTATCCTTTTTGCCAGGGTTTAATTAGATGTAGCGCTCCCGCGTGACGTTCTGTTCCTCAACCTGAACTGCTCTGTCCTGGCTAGCACGATAATTATGGCGTGTAAGAGAAATGCCATTCCATTTCCCTCAATACTGCGAGGCCTCAAATCATCAGCCTTACGAAAATGTTCAAAGCTCTACAAAACAGGTTATTTTTGAAGTGATGGGCAGGCAGGAGGAGGATGGCAAAGACATGGCTCTTTCATCTTCTGGTTCTCTGACATAAATTAGCCAAAACATTCAGAAGCAGCCAGTGTTCTTTGAGTTTGAAGACATGGCAAGTTGAGCTATTTATTCCCTCCTTCATCCATCATGCATAAAACTGTTGTGAATAGCATTCCTTACTCTGTTTCAAGTTGTAGCATTGTTTTATATGTATTTATGTGGTATATTGTACCTCAAAAATGCATTGCTATTGATTTTGCATTACAAAGTTTGAAATAAAGAACACCGTTGTTTATTTTGAAGACTTGACAATGTATCCAATCACCTTGTTTCCTTGCTGTCCTTGCAATAAATGTATAGGGCTGTAAATATACCGCCATGTCTTAAATCACAAAGGGAAAGGTTTGTTTTTTTCTGAGCAATGGACTATTGCAGTTATTTAACAAAAATATCCTCACATTTCCTGTTATTAAATCTAATGGCAGATCAACTTCAAATATACCTGCCTACCTAACGCCCAGCAGATAGGGAGCGACTTCTGCGCACAGGCAATGCTAGGGTGCAGTCTCTACACATCCCTTTCACTTGTCTGACACCGCCTTAAACGTTTTAGACCCTTCAGCAAAACATCCCGTTCAACTTGGCCAAACGCATCACCCAGCAAAAGACGAGCCACGCGTTTGTTTTAAGGTGTTTAACCAAGAAACTTAAGAGGAGCTGCGCAAGCCCGTGCTTTGTTTGGTGTTTTCTGTTTCTGTTGAGCGTGTCACAACACGATCATCTGTACAAATATAATTCGGTGAATTCCAGCTCGACTACATACTATTCCAGGTCTCACCTTTTCCCCGGGCTCTTCTTACCTCTTTACACACACGCACAGCGTGCAAAGGGTGAAAAGAGGGATTGTGTGGCTGTGGAAACGTGTGCGTAGTTAGGGTTGTTTATAGGCAAAAGGCTCCCATGTGCCTCGGTTTTGTATGCATTCTCCCCACATTTTCCCATTTAATTTATTGAACCCTGGTTTACTGCTTGGGGGTGACATACAATGACTCGTTTAGAAGCTGTGTGAAATGTTTCGTCAAGTTTAACCATCAACACGTGTGCTGGTATAATCTGCATTACTTTAAAGACAAAGACTCTAAACGAGAAAATATCTAGACTGATATTTTCTGTTGGAGCTTAAGTCTTGTTCTCTCATGAGAGTTTAAAAGAAGTTGCAAAATGTCTGCAAAACTCACGGTCTTGACGCGATCAGGGAAATAATATTGATGATAATCTATCAGAAGACGGTGCTTCGTCTAATGCTGGGCCCCACATTTGACATCCGCTGCGAATGAAACTGCAGCTGCAGCCGCAGAAAAAGCCACGAAAATCCTTTACTGATTTCTAAGGTGTTACAGGTGTTACACTGTTTTCATAGATGCCGTTGTAAA